CTCTCTCTCTCTCTCTCTCTCTCTCTCATATATTTCTCTTTTCCTTTTTCTTATTCTTTTCTGGGCATCATTTTTCTTTTAGCTACTCTTTCATCTGATATGAATTTTTTCATTCTGTTTTTACATTTTTTTCTTCTTCCCATTTTTAGTCCATTTCCCATTTTATTTTTCCTGCCCATCAGTTTTTCTTTTACATACAACTAGTAATTAGGAAATAGAAAAGTTAATAAAGTATTTATATTTGTAAATATTGTAGGTTGCTCTGCATAATAAAGTTTTCTAATACATATATTTTCTTTTCCAGAATTATATATCGACACAGATAAGAAAAACTACAAGGCCCTTAATTTCAAAAACCTCGGTGTTCTTGCGATGATTCCTGCTCTAGTAGCCAAAGTAGCCAGGGACACAGTACGAAAGGTGATTTTACTTTTTTCAATCTAATTGAAAGATTATTTTTGGTAATTCTTTTAAGTATGGGCACACTTGCCAGAGGCTAAGTCCCCAACTCCTCATCAAACTTTATTCAACAATCTAAAGTGCCATTACTGGGTGTGAGTTGATAAGGGGCCTGTCCTCAGACACCCCCTGATATTGTCTTCACCTCGGTATGCACAGCAAGATTGAGCTGAAACTTGGGAGGACAGAGTGGGTTTAGAGTGTGGCTGGCATTACCATTTGTCTGCAGATGATTTCTTGTACAGACAACTACATCTTTTTGTCCTCTACAAGAATATCATCTTCAATTTGCACTAGCTTAGTGTGTCCATACCATAAAGAAAAACTATATTTTATTTAATCCATGCCCTTTTATTTTATGGAAATACAAAATTGTTACAAGATTCTGTTTTTTCATTTTTAAACTGCTGATACTAGAATATGTTGATATTCTATATAATATGTTGATAATATAGAATATGTAGATTCAACATGATAGTTAATTTTACAAGGATTTGTGCATACCTACTGTCACAAATATGTGTATCCCTTTTAATTTTAAGGATACCAATGACAAGTAGCAAAAATTAAAGAGTAATATGCATCAGTAAAATTTGGAAGCTTGCTTGCAGCTTTAAAATTTTCATTTTCTAACTTATTTTTATTTTACATCATGATGTAAAATGGTATTTTACATCATGTGCTGATTGCACATTACTTTTAAAAAGGGGACATTTTGAGTTCAACCATGACCTGCATAAATCTCGTTTTCTTCTTGACTTAAAACCATAATACAACCAATGTCCTCTTTAACATAGCCATGTATGTTTGTTGATGTTCGTGTTTTCAGATTACCAAACCGATTTTTTTCATGATCATATGGTTTATGGTTAACATATTTCCCTCTCCATAGGCCAAACAAATGGGGATATCAGGAGACATGAAGGGTGACAAAATGCAGACTGGAGGATTGCTTGTTGTGTCGCCAAAAGGAGAGAAAGTATTATATGAGTTTAAACAGGAAAATCCGGCTGACCATGCAGAGAATGCAGCAATTTTAAAAGTGAGTATAAAAAAAAAAGTAAATATAAAAAAGATCAGTAAAATCATGCACAGGTAGCTAAGCATCAAGATTTTTGTTAATTCTCTTGTCTGTTTTTCTTATCAGTCTTTCGTTTTTTTTCTGTGCTTTGCTTTGGTTCCTATTTTAATTTTTTTCCTCTGTCACTCTTATAGTTGGCATTTTCTTATCTATACAACTTTTATAGTTACCCTGTGTTTACAAATCTCTGTGCTTCTGTGAGCTGTTGACTGATAAATGGTCTCTTCTAGCAATGCTTTTCTGGATTCAGTTGACCTAAGAACCATTTACATGGTTCTTCTCCCCCTCCCCCCCCC